AACCAGTCCATCCTAAAGGAGATCAGTCCTGGGTGTTCATTGGAAGGACTGATGCTGAAGCTGAAACTCCAATACTTTGGCCACCTGATGCGAAGAGCTGACTCATTTGAAAAGACCCTGATGCTGGGGAAGATTGGGGGCAGGAGGAGAAGGGGATGACAGAGGATGAGATGGCTGGATGGCATCACCGACTCGATGGACATGGGTTTGGGTAGACTCTGGGAGTTGGTGATGGACAGGGAGGCCTGGAGTGCTGCAGTCCATGGGGTCACAAAGAGTTGGACACAACTGAGCGACTGAACTGAACTGGAGTTTAGAGAAGAAACAGGAGTAACAGAGGCTAAGGAAACACGCTTGCGAAAGAAAAGAAAGAAGCTGGGAAGAAAGCGCGGCGTGGCCGAAAAGAAAGGAGAAAACCAGGATCAAGGACAGGGGGCCATGGGGAGGGTCAGGGCCCACCTGGTCAAGCGGCAGAGAGTCCAGACCCTGAACTGGGCACTTACGAGCTGTGTGACCTTGAGCAAGTTGCAGCTTAGGCTCCCCACCTCACGGCAACATTCTGAGAACTCGGCACTCTCGGGAAGGCAGTGCTGGTGACTGCCTCTGCAGAGCAACAGGCCCACAGCAACCGCCCCTTCCGTGGCAGCGGTCACCTCTGTTACTAATGGCCTGAGGGTAACCACTGGCTCACACAGACGGCCCCTTCATGCTTCCCTGTGGTGGACAGTTCCAACAACTATTAAAAACCTGTTTTACACTGGACATGCATGGAAAAAGAGACTGTTTAGTTAACACCATCTCTAAGATTAAGTCACACATATATGCAGACACCATCTTTGAGTTTAAAAAAAGAAAAGATGACTTCCGATTCTGCAAGACGTCTGACCACAGCTATCTATCACAAGCTGGGATGCAAGGAGTGCCCTTGGCCGGCGCTCTCTCTGGAGACACATGGCAACCCCTCCGCGGGAAGGGATACGGCTGACTGCTGCTTCACATCCTGAGATGAGCACTGGTCCTCGGGCGTCTGAAGTTTGTCACCTGTGATACAGCTAGAAATTCAAATCAAGACTGCTGCCTGTCTGTAAGCAGCTTTCGGTTCGGGTATAAACTCTTCCGACAGTTCAGGAAAAACGTATGGAGAGAGTTTGAGGGCTTCCCTGGTGGTCCAGTGGTTAAGACTCCAGTCTCACAACGCAGGGGACCTGGGTTCGATCCCTGGTCAGGGAACTCGATCCCACACGCTGCAACTAAGACTGGTGCAGCCTAATCAGTATCTCACAGAGTTAAGTATGTGACATAAGCTGGACGTATATGGGAAGAGCAATTGTTTAGTTAACATTGTCTCTATACTAAGAAAATGGAGAATGAAGGTGGGTTATAAGAAAAACAGTCTAAGTGAGGTAGTATCAAAAGTAGTTGAAATCATAAAAACAGGAGTTGAAGCATAAACAGGAGCTTTGGAAAAGACTCAACAGCATAGATCCCTAATCTGTGGGTCCTCAACCAGGGGCTTGGGAATTACTGTGAAGCATCTGAGAATCTGCTGGAAAGACCAAGCAACGCTGCCTGTTACTGAATGAAGTCACAGCTTTCTGTCATGTGCATTTTCTTGATCACAGAGCAATAATTATGGTAAGGGGCCTGTAATACTTTTTGCCTTTTTCCCTCTTTCTAACTCTCACTAGAAGAAGGATCCTACTGGTCTAGAAGGTGGTGAGTGGACAAACCCATGGCAAAATCTGAGGGCGGAGGCTTCCAGCTCTCAGAAAGTGAGACTGTTCAGGGGAAGTGTGTCCGAATGCCCCACCCACCCCCTTCCCCCACAGAATGACTGACTGGTTTACCTCCTCAGGACAGCACACACCTTCACCAGCCTCCCGTCCCCTCCCTGTAACAGAAGATAGTTTCGGCTGCACAATAGAAATGTACCCCCAGTTTTAAACACCAATTCAAGTATACAAATCAGTCTAAGGCCTTCGAAGGGATGAAGGTTCTGGACCGGGAAACGGGAGGGTGAATTTAAGGGATTAAGGGAAGGCAGGAACAGCACCACAACACGCGCCCCTAGTTGGTGACTGCAATCTCTGCGAGTGGCTGAGAC